TAGCTAATTGCTCAATGTTTGATGCTATGTTTTATACCATTTTTTTCTTTTATTTAGTTTATTTTCATATTATCACTTGTCATTTATATATTATGGCACTTGGAGAGCGTGAAGTGTTAGACAAGGCGTGCAACTCTAGAGGGGGGGTGAATAGACTTGTTGAGAATGTTTACCGATTTTCGCAGGATTAATAATATGAACGTAAGTGCATTGGAAATAAAAGAGAGAAGACAAAGAACACACCGATGTATACTGGTTCACCACCTCGTGGCTAGTCCAGTTCCACGAGAGACTCTCTCGAAGCTACCACCACTTCTGTTAAGCTTACGGGTGCTTAACAAACCGTTTACAACTTGAGAACTTGAATCCCACAAGCCTCGACACAACCGCTCGTAGATATGCCCTCTACAAGGCTTCACAACCAAGACTAAAGTCACATAAGTCTTGAACAACAAGAAGAACAATCTTCTTCAACCTCTCAACAATAGCTCTCAAAAGAGTAGAAATGAGAAATGATTAAAGCTCTATGGATGACAAGAACACTCTCTTGAAAAACACTTAGTTTTCTCTCAAAATATATCAAGTTGGGGAAGAAATGAATGGAGGATTATAACCTCAAGATTGGGGGATTTTAGGAGTGCTTGTTCATTGTAAAAAGGACCAAAGAGTGAAGTTTATAAAGGGGTTGAAGGAATATATCCGTTGGTCCAAGAAAAGAAGCTGGGATGAAAAAATGCAGCATAATAATCGATTAATGCACTGACATTAATCGATTAATGCAGCATCATCAACGATTAATGCAGCTGAAAAAAAATCGAATAAATTAAAGGAATTAATCGATTAGAAGGCCCTGTGTGAACTAATCGATTAAAGGGAAGGAAAAAATTGATTAAACTCAAGACCTGAGTAATCCAACGCTAAGCAAAACTCAACTAATCGATTAATCAAGAGATTTTAATCGATTAATCAAAACAAAACTGGGTAAATCGATTAAAGTGAGAATATTAATCGATTAGATTTGAAATGATGCACAAACACAAGGGCCCCAGCCAGTTGCGAGATGAGAAGTAAAAAATGTCTTAACGCGATTGTTTCAGACAAGAGGAATGAGAGATGCTCCTCAAACAAAACCTCTCCTATTCAATGTATTTGAATAAGGGAGTAAAAGTGAGTCCAAAAATTATTTTATGTGTCAAATGATGTACACGAAAAATATTTGAATAAAATATTTTTGCTTACCAAAAATATTTTATAATATCTGATACAATTTGATAATAACTTGTCTTATTGAATATTGAGAGATATGGCCCTATATATAGGGAATACAAGAGTAATCAAAGTACAAGTAGGAAAGGAAAGAATAATCCTAGTAGGAAAGGAAAGAAGTATCCTAATTTAATTATACTTCCTAATATCCCCCCGCAAGCTGATCAACGGAGACGAGGGGCAGCTTGGAACATAAGTACTCAAAAGGAACTGGCGGAAGCGGTTTGGTATGAATGTCTGCTAGTTGCTCTGAGGAGGAAACATGATGTGGAGTCATAGTGCCTGCCATAACCTCATCTCGTACAAAGTGACAGTCTGTGCCCACATGCTTCATGCGATCATGAAGAACCGGATTTTTGGTGACACAGATAGTCGACTCATTGTCACAGTATAACTTCGGTTTGGACGGAGGAATACCCAGTGCATCAGTGATATATCGAAGCCACATAGCTTCTGCAACCCCTGCAGCCATAGCTCGATATTCAGCTTCAGTGGATGATCTAGAAACACGAGTCTGCTTTTTCGTGCACCAAGAGATGATATTAGGACCGAGTAG